CTTTCAAAATGGTAAACATTTACATTTATTTTTGCAGTTACTTGATTTCTATAGTAGATAAAATAAAGGGTAAGTTTATTTTGCTTTTTCTTTCCTTTAATCTTGGTTCACTTATGGAATTTCAGAAAGGCTGATGTTGAAAGAGGTCAAGATGGACGTTAACTAAGAAACCAATTTTTGGTAGAATAGTCAGAGTTATTGATTGTAGGCATTAAGCATCTTTGGATGTTTGAAGTTGAAAAGGAATATTATTTAAAGTATACTGTGCAGCTCATAGAACAGAGATCCCAGCTGGAGATTCAGTGTCAGGACAAGATAACCAGGAATAATAGCCAGATTCACAGAAATAGATTGTTCAGGTGAAGACACCACTGCTGCCGAAATACAAGATTCTACAGCAATATGTGCTGTTGACAAAACTAACAGTGGACTAACGAGGTGCATTAGAGCTACTGCTTCTAGGACTTTATCTCCTTGCCACTTCTGCTTCCATTATAAAGCTGTGTCTGGCCCCAGCCTCACTTTCTCCAGATTCTAAGGCTCAATGTGTTCAGGTAGTTTGATAGGACCTAAGGTAACAACTGCTTCTGATCTAGCCTCAAGGGAGGCTGGAAACATGAGTATGTGGCACTTTCACTTCTATAAACTCAGAAGGTGAGGAATTCTTAAAACACTGGAGGGGCTGAGGTACAAGATGACAATAGAGTGACAAGTGTCCCAAAGCTGAAAGAGCAAATTGGTCACTATGATTAGTACAGTAGTTGTCCATCTTTCCAGTTCTCAAACTGTCTACACTCAAAAATTACTAAAGATCTCAAAGAGTTTTTGCTTATATAGGTAATTTCTATCAATATTTGTCATATTTATGAATTAAGAGGAATTTTTAAAAGATGTATTACTTTAACAATTACATATCAATAATAACATAATGATATATTTTATGAAAAATAGCTATACTACCCAAAAAAAAGGAAGTGAATAAGGATGGTATTATTTTACATGTTTGCAATTTGTCTGATTTCTAGCTTAATAGGAAGCAGTTGGATTCTCATAACTGCTTCTACATTAACCTTTTGTAATATCACACATTCTGTAATCTCTGGAAAACTAAACTATACACTTGTGACAATAAGAGTGGAAAGGGTAAGTATCATCTTAATATTATTGTGAAAATAGTTTTGACTTTGGAGACTCCTTAAAAGGTACCGGGGTCTCCCTAACACAGTTTGAGAATTGTTAGATGAAAGATTTACTTTGTGATTGTAATTAGGTGATATATATTATACTGAGGCACACAATTCTCTGGATCCTATTCTACTTGTCATATATATTTTTATCCAAGACTTGGAAATTTTGCTTGAAGGTTGACAGGTTAGAGCCTGTATCAAGTTATTATTATAATGATATTTTTAATAGACTGCAAAAATAATAGCAGGATTCTATTTTGGTTGTTCAATGGGGTTTTGTCCTCTCCTTTGATCTCACAGGTTATTTCTAACTTTAATTTCTGACTCTATAGTTCCCTAAATTTGCATGTTATAAGCAATGACAGATTCATTTACTTTTTTAAAACAACCTTGTTATTTTAGAACAGGTTTAGATTTACAGACAGTAAAGAATCCGCCTGCAATGCAGGAGACCCGAGTTTGATCCCTGGGTCTGGAAGATCCCCTGGAGAAGGGAATGGCTACCCACTCCAGTATTCTTGCCTGGAGAATTCCATGGACAGAGGAACTGGCGGGCTATAGTCCATGGGGTTGCGAAGGGTGGGACCCGACTGAGCGACTCACACTTAGATTTACATGATCACTGCAACAAGAGTCCAGAGAGTACTGCACAGCCGGTCTCCTGTGATAGTGCCTTACACCTGTGAGGCACATTTTGTTATAGGAGAGATTGATATTAATTCATTACTGCTGACTAAAGTTCATAGTCTATTCCGATTTCCTTATCTATCTCTTGTTTAATGTCATTTGTCTGCTCCAAGATTCCATCTAGGACACCACATTATGTTTAGTCATCATTCATTTTAGGTTCCATTTGATTGTGACAGTTTCTCAGACTTACCTCCTTTTTGATGACTTTGACAGGTTTGAGAAGTATTTTATAGGTCAGATATTTTGTAGGATGTTTCTCAACTGTGATTTATCTGATGTTTTTCTCCTGGTTAAACTGGGTTATGGGTTTTGTGGAGGAAGACCACAGAGGCAACATGTCATTTGCATTACATCAAATAATGGGTGCATATTATCAAAGTGACTTACGACGACTGGTGTTAACTTTGATCCCCTGGCTTGATGTACTATTTTTCATGGTCTTCACCGTAAAGTTACTCTTTTCTTCTCCATCTCCATACTGTGCTCTTTGGGAGAAAGTCACTATGCACAGCCCATACTTTAGAAGTGGGGAGTTAGACTCTGCCAGCTGGAGGGTGGAGTGGCTATATAAACTGTTCATAATTCTGCATGAGAGGTGTGTCTGTTCTTTCCCATTTATTTGTTCAATCATTTATATTTATATGTGCTCACAGGTATTTATACTTTGTTATATAATCCACTAGTACTTCATTTATTATATAGCTCAAATTGTTCTAGCTTTGACCACTGGGGCTTGTCCAGTTGGCTCCTGAATCCCTCTGACACACCACCATCATTGTGGTCGTTTGTTTGTTGATTGGTTTGCTCGTCCCTCTTTCTCATGCTGCACAGTGTTCCAGGCGCAGCTGTGTATTTCCTGCCCCAGTCCTAGCAGCATCAATTTCTCCAAAGAGCTTTGTTGCCTTTTATTGAAGAACAATATTAGAAACCAAGACACGAGTGAGAGGTGTACTTATTGCTCTTGGGTGTCATTGCTTTTATGTGCTCTCAGCTGACAGAGCAAGAAAATGTGTGTCTTAACCCACGTACACACAGATATCTATCAATAAATCTATATGTAAACATATGCATCTATATTAAACTAAACATTAGTTCATACCAATATCTCTAACTCTAATCCATTGCACATGGATCATTCTACACCCTTCTCTTCTTGTACTTGTTATATACCGGTAAAATTATTTTAACAGTGAAGCAATTTCGGAATGGAGGTATGAGAGGAAACAGAACAATGAAAAGAGCCAGAACTCCAGTGACTAAAGTGAATTAAACATCTGAGAACCTGTACTCTGGTGTTCATAGTTACAGTTATGTAGTATCCACAGTAAAAGGCCTTATACAGAGTAAGCTTAAATCTTGTTGCTACTCCACGAGTAACTCAGGTTACAGTTATATAGTATATAGCTTCCTTGTCTCTTGAAGTTTCTTATCTTTAAAGCAGGCAAATATAGCACTCTACTCACAGGAGTGTGAGGAGTAAATGTTAACAAAAACAGCAAATTTAGAATAGGGCCAGGATCAGAATTTATGACCAGTTGTTACTATATACACTATTGGGTAAGCATATTATAATTTATACTCTACAGATGAAAGAAAGAGAGGCATAGGGATATTATAACCTGCTCAAAATCTCATAGTTAGTAAACTACAGACCCACTTTCTCATAAACTATGCCCTTTAAAGGGTTTCTGAACAGCTCTACACTTATATCTCTTTTTGTTACATTAAGATATAAAGTGCCACTCTGTAAATCTAAAGGGAAGGCTAACTACTGAAAACACTCAAGGATGCTTTGAATATTCTCAGTGTCTCTTATATGAATTCGTTGTCACATGGATCATTCCAGCCCCTCCTCTTGCATTTATTATACACTTGTATATCTAGTGATCATCATTATCGTTTCCCACATTACCAACATTTTCATGCCAGGAGAGGACTCAGCCAGAGGGGTAGATGAGCCTTCTCAATGCTCATGTTGTCACCTTTAGCCAGTTGAGGCAAAGGTCACCTCCAAGGAGGAGGTTAAAAGTTAGCTCTGCCTTGTCTACACATGTGCCTTCCTGTTATGAGAAGCCTTGCTTGGTGAAAGACTCCTGGAAGCTTCACTATTCTTGTCCTGGGGAATGTGACACCAGGCCAAGATTCACGGAATGTGCAGTTGGTAAAAGAAGTCTCTTAGAAGTCCAAAAGGAGGTGCTTTGTCGGACAGAACCTGTAGACGTTTATCTACTCAAGTCAAATCCATGACAATGTCGCACTCTGTATTTACTCGCCCTACTCCATATCTCTTCCCCTTTGGACACTACGACTCTGATTCTTTCATCTTGCACAACCCTCTGGACGCCACCATTTATTGAACTTACAGTTTCATTTTGAGCCTGGTGTCACCGCCAGATAGATTCTGAAGAGGGAAGCAGGTATCTCCCTCTCCCCTTTCCTCATCACCATGTCGCCACCCCCTCCATTTTTCCCTCTTAGCATCAGTTAGAAGATTTGAGGGAAATCTTAAGTATCTCGTAACATCATTTGACAAATATTCGTTTAGGACCTACTATGTCTGAGGGATTTTGCTAGTCACAGGATGCAGTATTGAGCTTGATACACATCGTCCTCACCCTCAGGGAGCCTGAAGACCACTGGAAAGTAACATGAGCTTGTGTGAAGTGGGGGCTTCCTCCCGTCAGGCACTGGACTCCCTGTGTGCGCTTTCACGCTGAAATCTGCTGGAGGCAGCCATTCCTACTGTCCTCATCTACAGGTGGGAGACAGGATTGCCCAAGGCCACACACCTAGGAATGGTGGAGCTGGGACTTGAGTGCAGGTCTGTCTGATGTCACACACTTAACCACACATCCGTCTTCTCGCCTGCCACCCCGCCCCCCCCCAGCAACACACACACACAATCACACACCCACCCTCAGGAAGCATGGCCTCAGAGTTTGGTGCGTTTGTGGCTGGATAGAAGCTCTTTTCCAATTTTGCTGCAGTTTCTACTGAATACTTTGATTTGCAAATAGAAAGGGCTCGCTGAAGCACAGCCTTAAACAAACTGTGGCAGACAGCTGGGGAGGACAGCTGCAGACAGAAAAATGTGGCCGGAAGCTCCAGGGCCGGGAGGAGGAGATGTGCAGCGAGGCGGCTGCAAGCAGAGTAAGCAGTGATCAGCAGAGGTGAGCTGGACTGACATATTAGACCACCTGGCCCCCAGACCACAGGGGACAAAGGCCTGCAACACTCTAGCATGCCCTGTCTTTATCAGGTTATGCAAATGCACCTAGGTTATAAGTATTTTTTCTTTGCCTATATTATTCAAGTGATTATTCAAGTAAATTTAAAAATCCTCTTTCTTCCTGAAGTATGTCTGATGTAATGAGGTAGAAAGACCTCAGGATTAAAAACAAGGAGACCTAAATTTTTGATCAGATGAATGCTGATAGTCTAATTGTATGATCTTCTGCAAGTTACTTAACTTCTCCCATCCTAGCTACTCTTTCTTCAAATATAAGGAAATAGGACTGCTGAACCTTAAAGGTTTTTGAAGTTCCTAACTGCTCTGAAGCCATGATGTACCAAGAACCTACACTGTGTCTACTGCATTAAACAATTTAAGGTCCAGAGGCAATTAGCAAACATGTGTCTAGCCCTTTGGACTTGTGCTGTCCAGTACTGGAGCTGCCAGCCACATGTGGCTATGGAACACTTGAAATGTAATGTGATGAATCTATAATTCTATGTCACTTTAATTAAATTTGAAATCAGAAAGTGGTGCTGTATTCAGTTACTAAAAACGTTTACATTTGAAACAAGGTAAGGATATGGGTCTTTTTTCAGTGGTTCCCTGAGCTCACTTGGTAAAGAATCCGTCTGCAATGCAGGAAACCCCAGTTTGATTCCTGGGTCAGGAAGATCCCCTGGAGAAGGGATAGGCTACCCACTCCAATATTCTTGGGTTTACCTGGTGGCTCAGTTGGTTAAGAATCTGCCTGCAATGTGGGAGACCTGGGTTCGATTCCTGGGTTGGGTAGATCCCCGGGAAAAGGGAACAGCTACCCACTCCATTATTCTTGTCTGGAGAATTCCATGGACAGAGGAGCAAGGCAGGCTACAGTCCACGGGGTTATAAACAGTTGGAAATGACTGAGCAACTTTCACTTTCTTTCAAATTTTGTACAATGTAATTACAGATCAAGTGTTTCTGATGAAAATTTAGCATCTAAATTGAGATGTGTTGTACATGTAAAATACACCAGATTTAACACAATATAAAAAAAGGATGTAAAATATCTCCAGGAGATCTTCCCAACCCAGGGATTGAACTTGGATCTCCCGTGTTGCAGGCAGATACTTTACAGTCTGAGCCACCAGAAAGCCAAACCAAAATATCTCATTAATCATTTCTCATGTTGAAATGACAGACAATATTTTAGATATATGCGATTAGGTAACTCCAATATGTTGGCCACCTGATGTGAAGAGCTGACTCATTTGAAAAGACCCTGATGCTCAGAAAGATTGAGGGCAGGAGGACAAGGGGACGACAGAGGATGAGATGGTTGGATGGCATCACCGACTCAACGGACATGGGTTTGGGTGGACTCCGGAAATTGGTGATGGACAGGGAGGCCTGATGTGCTGCAGTTCATGAGGCCGCAGAGTTGGACACGACTGAGCAACTGAACTGAAATGAAATGTATTATTAAAATTAATTTCCTCTATTTTTACCTTTAATGTGATTATGCCCTTTCATGAATCACAGGCTTGTTATGGTGAAGGGGCTTGCAGGACTCAGTGCAGCTATGAGCTGTGGCTTGCCAGGCCACCTAGGACGGACGGGTCATAGTGAAGGGTTCTGACAAAATGCAGTCCACTGGAGGAGAAAATGGCAAACCACTTCAGTGTTTTTAACACAAGAATCCCATAAACAGTATGATGGCGAAAAGATATGATACCAGAAGATGAGCCCCCCAGGTCTGAAGGTGTCCAATATGCTACTGGGAAGAGTGGAGGGCCATTACTAATAGCTCCAGAAAGAAAGAAGTGACTGGGCCAAAGTGGAAATGATGCTCACTTGTGGATGTATCTGGTGGTAAAAGTAAAGCCTGATGCTGGGCAAGATTTTCTTAGAAGAAATGGAATAGCCCTCATAGTCAACAGAAGAATTCAAACTGCAGTACTTGGATACAATCTCAAAAATGACACAATGATCTCAGTTTGTTTCCAAGGCAAATCATTCAGTATCACAGAAATCCAAGTCCATGCCCCAACCAGTAATTCTAAAGAAGCTGAACAGTTCTATGAAGAGCTACAACAACTTCTAGAACTAACACCACAAAAAAAAAAAAAGATGTCCTTTTCATCATAGAGGACTGGAATGCAGAAGTAGGAAGTCAAGAGATATCCAGAATAACAGGCAAGTTTGGCCTTGGAATACAAAATGAAGAAGGGAAAAGGCTAACAGTTTTGTCACAAGAACATACTGGTCATAGCAAACACTCTCTTCTAATAACACAAGAGACGACTCTACACATGGACATCACCAGATGATCAATAGCAAAATCAGATTAATTATATTCTTTGCAGCCGAAGATCGAGAAGCTCTATACAGTCAGCAAAAACAAGACCTAGAGCTCACTCTGGCTCAGATCACCAGCTCCTTATTGCAAAATTCAGGCTTAAATTGAAGAAAGTATGGAAAACCACTAGGTCATTCAGGTATCACCTAAATAAAATCCCTTATGATTATACAGTGGAGAAGATGAATAGATTCAAGGGATTAGTTCTGGTAGGCAGAGTTTCTGAAGAACTATGGACGGAGGTTTGTAAATTGTACAGGAGGCGGTGACCAAAACCATCTCTAAGAAAAAGAAATGCAAGAAGGCAAAGTGGTTGTCTGAGGAGGCTTTATAAATAGCTGGGGAAAGGTGAGAAGTGAAAGGGAGAAAGGAAGATATACCCAACTGAAAGCAGAATTCTAGAGAATATCAGAGAGAGATAAGAAGGCCTTCTTAAATGAACAGTGCAAAGACATACAGAAAAATAATAGAATGGGAAAGACTAGAGATCTCTTCAAGAAAATTGGAGATACCAAGGGAATATTTCATGCAAGGATAGGCATGAAAAATGACAGAAACAGTAAGGACCTAACAGAAGCAGAAGAGAGTAAGAAGAATGCACAGAAGAACTATACAGAAGAGGTCTTCATGACCCTGGTAACCACGATGCTGTGGTCACTCACCAAGAGCCGGATATCCTGGAGGGTGAAGTCGAGTAGGAAACGTTACTGGGAACCAAGCTAGTAGAGGTGATGGAATTCCAGCCGAGCTATTTCAAATCCTAAAAGATGATGCTGTTAAAGAGTTGCACAAAATATAGCAGCAAATTCTGAAAACAGCAGTGGCCACAGGACTGGAAAAAGTGTTTTCATTCCAATCCCGAAGAAGGGCAATGCCAAACAATGTTCAAAGTACCATACAATTGCACTCATTTCACATGCTGGTAAGGTTATGCTCAAAATCCTTCAAGCTAGGCTTCAGTAGTATGTGAACCGAGAACTTCCAAGTGCATAATCTGGGTTTAGAAAAGGCAGAGGAACTAGAGATCAAATAGCCAACATTTGTTGGATCATAGAGAAGGCAAGGGAATTCCAGGTAAACATCTACTTCTGCTTTCATTGATTATGCTAATGCCTTTGACTGTGGATCACAACAAACTGTAGAAAATTCTTAAAGAGATGGGAATACCAGACCATTTTACCTATCTCCTGAGAAACCTGTATGCAGGTCAAGAAGTAAGTTAGAACCAAACATGGAACAGTGGACTGGTTCAAAATTGGGAAGGGCTGTACGTTTGTCAACCTGCTTATTTCACTTACATGCGGAGCACATCATACTGACATGTGGTCAGCGTGTGGTGACTGACCTGTGTGACTGGGGAGGGTCACTTTCTCCGGAGAGAATGTGGTGAGTGTGCTGGCATGATCAGAAAAGACTCCATCCCTGGTCCCTTCTTGGGGTTCCCGTGGAGTGACTGAGGAGCACCGCTGTCTTAGCTTCCTAGGGCTGCCATAACAAATACCACAGGCTGGTTGGCTTTAACAGCAGACATAATTTTCTCGCAGTTCCCGAGGCCAGAAGCCAGTGGTTTCCATCTCTTCTGAGGCCTCTCCCTTGTCTCACAGACGACCACCTTCTCCCTGTGTCCCCAGCGGCCGTCCTTTAGTCTGTGTAGTCTGTGTCATTTTTCAAAAGTTTTTTTTTTTTTTGTAAATTGAGGTATAATTGACTTATAACATTAGTTTCCACTATACAACATAAGATTTGATATTTGTATAAATTGCCAAATGATCACCACAATAAGTGTAGTTAACATCTGTCACTGTACATAGTTACAAAAAAAAAAGTCTTTTTCTAGTTATGGGAACTTTTAAGATATACTCTATCAGCAACTCTTAAATATGCAATCTAGTATAATATGGTGGCTATAATCACCATGGTGTATATCACATCCCCATGACTTATTTATTTTATACCTCTCAGCTCATACCTTTTGACCCCTTCACCTTTTTCTCCTATTCTCCAGTCCCTGCCTCTGGCAATGCTCAGTCTGTTTTCTGTATTTACAAACTTTGTGTGTGAGTATGTGTGTGTGTTGTTTTGTATTTAATTCCATGTGTAAGTGAGATAATACAGTATTTGTCTTTGTCTGTCTGACTTATTTCTTTTAGAATAATGCCCTCAATGTCCATTTATATTGGATAAATGGCAAGATTTCCTCATTTTATGGCTGAATAGTATTCCATTGGGTGTGTGTATATATACACAAATGTATGTATATATATTTATTTTCTTTATCCAGTCATCTATTGATGGACATTTAGTTTGTTTCCCTATTTTGATTATTATAAATAATACTGCAATGAACATGGAGTGCATGTATCTTTTCCACTTACTGTGTTCATTTTCTTCAGATAAATACCAGGAAGTGACATTTCTGGATCACAAGGCAGTTCCATTTTTAATTTTCAGGGGAACCCCCATAGTTCCGTCACCAATTTACATTCCCACCTACAGGGTACAAGTGTTCCTTTTTCTCCCCATTCTTACCAACATTTTTTTTTTTTTTTTTTGGATAATAAGTATTCTGAGAAGTGTGAGGTGATATTGCATTATAGTTTTTATTTGTATTTCCATGATGCTTAGTGATGTTGAGTATTTTTCTCAAGCACATGTTGGCCATCTGTATGTCTTCTTTGGAAAAGTGTATATTCAGATTGCCCATTTTTAAATCGGATTTTTTTTTTTTTTTTTTTTTTTTGCTATTGAACTCTATGAGTTCTTTATGTATTTTGGATATTAACCCCTTATCAGATATATGATTTGAAAACATTTTTCCCATTCAGTAGGCAGCCTTTTCATTTTTGCTGAGATGTAATCTTTTCATCTTGGATCATGGCCAACCTGTATGCTCTTGCCTGCGTGCTCAGTCACTTAGCTGCGTTCCACTCTGTCACCCCATGGACTATAAAGGCCCTATCTCCAAACAGTGTCACATTCTGGGGTACTGGGGGTTAGGACCTCAATGCATCAATTTGGTGGAAACACATTCAGCCCATAACCATCACCATCTCTTGTCAGTGTGTGGTGGTCAAGGATCAGTTTACTGAACTGTGTGGTCAGGGGCAACGACCACAGAATGACCAGGAGGTCACATGGGGATTTCCCATTCGAGGGATGAAGGCAAGGACATGCACCTTTGACATGACTATGAATGACTTTAGTAAATAAGGTAGGATGAAAGGGTGTTTTGACTCCTGAGTTTTACTGCAAAATCACAGATGGTACCGTCTGTTCCTCAATACCAGGAATTTCTTGTTGCTTGTACCACAGAGCCCGAGACCCAGTAAACGTAGCTGAATGCCCTTGCTATAAGATGACTCAGCAAGTAAAGAATCTGACTGCAATGCAGGAGACACAGGAGACATGGGTTCAATCCCTGAGTTGGGAAGATCCCCTGGGAAGGAAATGACAACCCTCTTCAGTATTCTTGCTTGGAGAACCCCATGGACAGAGGAGCCTGGTGGGCTACAATCCACGGGGTTGCAGAGTCAGACGCAACTGAGCGACTAAACACAACAGTGCTAGCTAGCAAATCTGACCTCAGGCACGAGGGTTACAATCTATTTAGGGGCAAGAGAAACACAAGGGACAAGTGTAAGTCCTGCACCTAGGAACAGACGGCAAAGAGGTGACCAGGCTGGGAGCAGAAAGCAGAAATCAGCAAAGATTTGTGACTTCTGGAGGGTGTGACTTCGTCAAGTTGGAGATTTATGAATAGGTGCTGATGAGGAGGATGGTGAAAAGCCTGCCTCTTGAGAAACCTGTATGTAGGTCAGGAAGCAACAGTTAGAACTGGACATGGAACAACAGACTGGTTCCAAATAGGAAAAGGAGTACATCAAGGCTGTATATTGTCACTCTGCTTATTTAACTTATATGCAGAATACATCATGAGAAACGCTGGGCTGGAAGAAGCACAAGCTGGAATTCAGACTGCCGGGAGAAATATCAATAACCTCAGATATGCAGATGACACCACCCTTATGGCAGAAAGTGAAAAGGAACTAAAAAGCCTCTTGATGAAAGTGAAAGAAGAGAGTGAAAAATTTGGCTTAAAGCTCAACATTCAGAAAACTAAGATCATGGCATCTGGTCCCATCACCTCATGGGAAATAGATGGGGAGACAGTGGAAACAGTGTCAGACTTTATTTTTTTGGGCTCCAAAATCACTGCAGATGGTGACTGCTGCCAAGAAATTAAAAGACGCTTACTCCTTGGAAGGAAAGTTATGACCAACCTAGATAGCATATTTTTTAATGCTAGCAGAGACATTACTTTGCCAACAAAGGTTTGTCTGGTCAAGGCTATGGTTTTTCCAGTGGTCATGTATGGATGTGAGAGTTGGACTGTGAAGAAAGCTGAGTGCTGAAAAATTGATGTCTTTGAACTGTGGTGTTGGAGAAGACTCTTGAGAGTCCCTTGGACTGCAAGAGATCCAACCAGTCCATCTAAGTCCTGGGTGTTCATTGGAAGGAGTGATGCTAAAGCTGAAGCTTCAATACTTTGGCCACTTCATGGGAAGAGTTGACTCATTGGAAAAGACCCTGATGCTTGGAGAGATTGGGGGCAGGAGGAGAAGGGGACGACAGAGGATGAGATGGCTGGATGGCATCACCGACTCGATGGGCATGAGTTTGAGTAAACTCTGAGAGTTTGTGGTGGACAGGGAGGCCTGGCGTGCTGCGATTCACGGGGTTGCAAAGAGTTGGACATGACTGAGCAACTGAACTGAACTGAGGCAGAGGTAGGAAAAAACGAGACATGAAAAGACTTACCAGCCTAGCAGGGACTGGTTAGAGCAGAGGGCTTGTGACCACAAGGAAGGAAACTATAAGCAAGGTGAAAAGACAGCCCTCAGATTGGGAGAAAATAATAGCAAACGAAGCAACAGACAAAGGATTAATCTCAAAAATATACAAGCAACTCCTCCAGCTCAACTCCAGAAAAATAAATGACCCAATCAAAAAATGGGCCAAAGAACTGAACAGACATTTCTCCAAGGAAGACATACAGATGGCTAACAAACACATGAAAAGATGCTCAACATCACTCATTATCAGAGAAATGCAAATCAAAACCACAATGAGGTACCATTACACACCAGTCAGGATGGCTGCTATCCAAAAGTCTACAAGCAATAAATGCTGGAGAGGGTGTGGAGAAAAGGGAACCCTCTTACACTGTTGGTGGGAATGCAAATTAGTACAGCCACTATGGAAAACAGTGTGGAGATTTCTTAAAAAGCTGGAAATAGAACTGCCATATGACCCAGCAATCCCACTTCTGGGCATACACACCGAGGAAACCAGATCTGAAAGAGACACATGCACCCCAGTGTTCATCGCAGCACTGTTTATAATAGCCAGGACATGGAAGCAACCTAGATGCCCATCAGCAGACGAGTGGATGAAGAAGCTGTGGTACATATACACCATGGAATATTACTCAGCCATTAAAAAGAATTCATTTGAATCAGTTCTAATGAGATGGATGAAACTGGAGCCCATTATACAGAGCGAAGTAAGCCAGAAAGATAAAGACCATTACAGTATACTAACACATATATATGGAATTTAGAAAGATGGTAACGATAATCCTATATGCAAAACAGAAAAAGAGACTCCGATGTATAGAACAGACTTGTGGACTCTGGGAGAAGGCGAGGGTGGGATGTTTCAAGAGAACAGCATCGAAACACGTATATTATCTAGGGTGAAACAGATCACCAGCCCAGGTTGGGTACATGAGACAAGTGCTTGGGCCTGGTGCACTGGGAAGACCCAGAGGGATCGGGTGGAGAGGGAGGTGGGAGGGGGGACCGGGATGGGGAATACATGTAAATCCATGGCTAATTCATTTCAATGTATGACAAAACCCACTGCAATGATGTAAAGTAATTAGCCTCCAACTAATAAAAATAAATGAAAAAAAAAAAAAAGCAGTGATGGGAGAGGGAAAGGTCTGCAGTGTAAAGGTATGCGGTTAGATGGGATTCGTGACAGAAGGGAAGACAGACTGAGTGTGAAGAGAGCTCGCTATTGATCAAACGTTGACACTGAGGAGGTCCAGAATTACACACACACGCACACACACACAGACACAACAGAAATCACCACCATACTGCAGGCATGAGACTTCCGCAGGTTACTGGCCCAGTGCCTTCTAGGAACCACCACGTGTTCCTGAAAGAAAAGATGGAAACAGTCTTGCTGCTTGTGTATTCTTAGATTACGATAGCTGAAAAATCCATTTCAGCATGCAGCTTTATTTTTTCTCCATCTTAACTTTAGGCTTCTCTTGTCAGTCCAATTGTTAGCAACAAGAAAGTAGATAGATGAAGGCAATATTCTCCCAAGTGACAAGGTTAAGGGAATAGATACATTAAACTGGGATGAGTCAGTTAAGTAACAACAAGAAGATTTTTGTGAATCATTTTATGGACTTATCTTGGGAAAAATACAATATGGAAGAGGAAATGGATGGCTTGATGGGAATTTGCTTGGAGAGGTCTGTTAAAAAACGATTCCCCTCCCAGTATATGTTCCCAATGGCGGTGGTGTTCAGTCACCAAGTTGTGGACTCTTTACAAGCTAATGGGCTGTAGCCCTCGGGGCTCCTTTATACATGGGATTTCCCAGGCAAGAATACCGGATTGGATTGCCATTTGCTTTTCCAGGGGATCTTTCCAGACCAGGGATCGAACCTGTTTCTTCTGCATTTACGGGCAGACTCGTTACCAAGCCGTATTTTTCCAAACAGTCAGTTCAGTCGCTCAGTCGTGTCCGACTCTCTGCGACCCCATGAATCGCAGCACGCCAGGCCTCCCTGTCCATCACCAACTCCCGGAGCTTACTCAAACTCATGTCCATCGAGTCGGTGATGCCATCCAGCCTCAGAAGACCTCAATTCGCTGGAGCAGACTTGAGAGGTGGAGCCCGAGTTCCATAAATCCCTAAGCGATGTTGATGCTTGCCAAGTTATAGCAAACGGGAGTCCTCACTGGCCGAGTGTATTCAGGTGATAAGGGAGATGACTGGCAACAGTCTGAAAACAGGCGCAGAAGTTTGGGAGTGAGTCCGAAGCAGCGACTAATTTTGCTTCTTCCCGGTCCCTAGTCTGCAGATACTCAGTCCTCGTGGATTGACCGCTCTGAAGGCCGGGGTGCGCTCGGCGGGAGTTACAGCCGGTTGCGCGGTCAGACTACCGCCCACCTCACTCCTGCCTCGCCGTAATTGCTGGAGCGCCCCACCTGCTGTGCAGCTCCGCCTAGCCTCCGACCGGCGCCGGCCGCACCCCTCACCGCGGAGCCCTGCCCCGCAGCACGCGCTGCAGGCCGGCGCCCCGCCCCTCCCGTCACGTGACAGCCCAGCCCTCCGCGCTCGCTCGGATTGGTTCTCGAGACCGATGGGGTGGGTTCTAGCCTGCAGCCCTGCCCCGCAACGCGGCTGCAGTTTTCAAACCTCAACTGTACGCTCCCGTCACCGTCTTCGCCGCCGTAGTCGGGAGCCACCTCGCTGGGGAGGTCAGGTCACAACTGTTGGCCGTTGTCCGGAAGGGTAAAAGTGGGTCCTGCCACGCTCGGAGCTGCCCGGCACCTCAAGGGGCTAGAGCTGGAGAAGGCGTCCTGTCGTGGCCACCTGCGTGGGGCGGGATTGGAGCCCCCTTGGAGGGGGCAGCCGCGGGAGAACCCGCTGCGGCCCGAGCGGTCAGTGTCTTCCGCCTCGCGCGTCCTCGGTCCTGCTGGGTTTGGCGGGTAGGCTCGGTGCTGCGACTCCAAACCCCTAAAGCAGCGCCCTTTCCGGGTGGAACGGAGACCCATGACGTGGGAGGGGTCCCGGGGAGGGATGCCGGCGGTGTGGGCGGACCCAGGATCGGCTCAGACCTCCAGCCTGGGGAAGATGGGCTCAGACACCGTCGTCCCCGGGCGGCCCGACTGCTCCGGACCCCTTGCCGTATCCCGGCTGGAGTCCTGCTTCCCTGGTTTCCCTTGGGTGAGGCGCTCGGGGCGGCAGCTGGACCTCCCAGGACCTTTCTCAGCCGGGTCCGTGTGTGCGTGCGTGCGTGTGTGTTTGTGTGTGTGTGGCCCGGTCTCTCCCCGGGTCGCATCCCGCGGGAGCCGCCTTCGCCACCGGCTCGCTCGCGGCCTTTCCACGTCGCGTCGACGTGGTCCCTTCAGGTCCCACTCGAGTTCACAGCTGGCGTGTGGGGCCCAGGACGTGTTCACATCTGGACTCATGGACACGTCCTGCTCACAGCTGCCTTTCGTCGGAGAAAGTTTGTGCCCATCTTGTGGGACATGTTCAGTTACTACTTGTGAAGAGATTTTTTAAAGTCAGTGAATAGAGAAGTCGAGTTGCAGTTGTTTCCGTGATTTCCTGCGATCTGGTTTTATTTTGACGCCATGTAATACAACTGCGTGACGGCTACGGTTTTGACATTTACACAACTCTTTGTTTTATGTAGGGAAAGCATTTGAATTCCCTTAGAGACGAAGCTGAAAGAGACTGTGAGCGGCTGGTAGCTGATGTTAGTTCTTCCTCTGGCTGTGATGGGACAGAGGCCATATAACATCAGTCTGCAAATTGAAATTAAGGAAAAGAAAACATTTTAAAGCCACATACTGATAAGATTTCAATTTTATTAGGTCTGTGTGTCACATTCGCTGATTGTTTTGCCAGCGTGTAATGTTTACATCTCTGGTACTGATGATATGCAGTGATGTGTGATACATTGATCGCCCCTTTAAGTTCTCAAGAGTTTGAGAATGTGTGCCCTGAGACAGCATGGTCTACTGAGAAGGCTGGGCAAGTGGCTGCATATATAACCTGGCATTTTGAGCCTGGGCACACAATCTTATTAAAAGATGATAAACCTACTTTGTCATTGATTCACCACTAGTTTCATAGTAGATTGTCCAGAAGGAGTTTTCAGCAACTTCCAAAGTATTTGTTTTACAAATTAAACCACATGCCCATAAAATGATGTGTTTGAAAAATTTGGTCCACAGAAGCAGTGTCCTAGTTTAAAACTCCTCTTCTTTCCTCTTCATCCTGTTCAGTTTTTAATTTTTTTTTTTGTTTTAATAGCTGAAGGTATTAATAGCTGCTTTATTCTTGAGGTACCTATCATATATTTTACATCAGTTTTCTAAAATATGGACTTGAAATTAAGGTGAGATATATTTACATGGCAATATATTCAAGTTTTAAAAGTAAAAATTGTGTTACAGAAGTCCTTTCATTTTTGTCTGTGGACAGAATAGTTTATTCTCTTGGGCTCATTGAAAACTGAATTACTGGTTGACTAAGATAGAATCCGGCTTCCCTCATAACTCAGTTGGTAAAGAATCTGCGTGCAATGCAAGAGACCCTGGTTCGATTCCTGGGTAGGGAAGATCCCCTGGAGAAGGGATAGTCTACTCACTCCAGTATTCTTGGACTTCCCTTGTGGCTCAACTGGTAAAGAATCTGCCTGCAGTGCGGGAGACCTGGGTTCAATCTCTTGGTTGGGGAGGTCCCCTGGAGAAGGGAAAGACTACCCACTCCAGTATCCTGGCCTGGAGAATTCCATGGGCTGTGTAGTCCATGGGTAACAAAGAGTCGGACACGACTGAGCAACTTTCACTTAAGATAGAATCAGTTTTCAGGAAAGTTGATACTTGACTAATTGATCACTGTGTCAGAATATTAATAGCAAAGCTGAAGAAGATACAGGCATTTGATGGCATGTTTCCAATCAAACAATTCTATCTTTAAACTTACACTGAGAGTTTTTTTTACTAGTGTTAAGTAAACATTTAAATACGTTTTTAAATGCTTGGTTTTTTAAGCTGTTTGATAATTAGAGAATTTCCTTATCAAAATTTCCCTGTTTTTACTTAGAGACCCAATTTTAAATGCAGGAATCCATTGCTGACACTTTCACTTAATCCTAAAATTGTCTTACAATTGCATGTATACTGTATTGCAGTGTGTATTGGCAGCTAAGTAGGACAGTGCTACTAGATGTATTGCTTTTAAAGGATTTTGGTTTTTTTTGTTTTGTTTTTTTTTTTAGGAATTCTTTGTGTTCTGTGGGTATTGGTTCTGTCAAAAACATTAACAATCTTTTATGTATGTACTTTTCCCTTGTGAAAACTTTAAATGTTTTTGTTATTTTAGTTTTTTACAATTTTGATGTCAAAATTCAGTGATTCTAAGTATTTTGTATTCTACAATAGACTTTTATCAAAGGATTTCTTTGACTATTTCAGTTCACAAATGTGTGAAAGAATTAAGTTACATATTTCTATATAAATGTGTTGTGACAAGTGTAATTTTCAGGACATACTTTGTGAACTTTTGATTTTTTGGATTTATTTACTTATCATTTTCCCCCAAAATACATGTAACCTTGATCTTCAGGACCACTGTAAACATCTAAACTAGTGAGTTTCTTTTCATTTATAAATGTGTTGTGGTGTCCTAGAGCCTCTGCAACCTCTTTAAAAGAGGGAATAGTTATATTTTAAGCATTTAAAAATTTTAATATTAACAGTGGAATGATAGTTTCACCTTTAATCCTAGGATCATATTTCATTTTTCATTGTAATACTTACTGAATAAACAGTACTTCAGAGATGCTATAAGTAAACAGTACTTTGTTTTGCAACAGAAACTTAATTTTCCATCTGATGAATGAAAAGCACTGTATGTTTGTTGGCGCACTCTATTTCCGTTCTCAACATCTTTCCATCCTGGTTCACAATTATAGGGTTTAACTCTCCTGAAGGTGGAAGAAACAGCACCTGGCCTTACTGAACTGACACAATCGGGTCTAAGGTCATTACCTGGGACTTTAGCCCTTGGATAGTGTTTACTAGGCTGGTTAGACTAGAGTCAGTTAGCTGGCTTCTTGTGATTTTACGAAGGATTAAATTCTTGGATTATACTTTCTATTCAGTCTTTAAAAAAAAGAAACAAACCGATTAACCTGTTAGTAGAGTATGTAGAAGGAATGGTCTCTTCCGTGAAATTGAAAATCATCATCATCCCTTTCCCTACACCAGTAACTTTGCTTCTAGTTAGAAATGGATCCTTCTGCCACACTAGCAGAAAGTTCTTTATTCTGATGGATTCTAGACAAATAAATCTCCAGTTCCTCTGTTTCATAGGGAAAACTTGGTAGCTGTAAATGCTCATGCAGAAAGAAAAAGTTTTTTTTCCCTGTAATCTTGTGCCTTACTTTGCTTTCCATTGCCTTTCAGATTTCTTCATGAGGATCTTAATTTATCAGTCCTTTTGCAGGACAAGTATCTGGATTTCCTGATTGAAATAGCTCTTAAAATATTGATGTTCTTAGCTGAAGTAGGGGTATGATAACATCTGGCTACCTAGTCTGGAAAGATAGGTAAATGCAAAGTAAATAATCTGTTGGTATTATATTACAATACATGATATAATAATTTTATCCATGTTTCCAGACTTCATGGCTATCCTGTTTAAAACTGAAGTTCTCTTATAGCAATTTAAAATATTAATTAATTTAGCCAAATATTGAATTGAGCAGAGATTAGCTGCATTTGCAGCCCCAATATTATAATTTCAAGATGGATCTCAAATTCTGCTAAACCCTCGAAGACATGAGATGTACCTAAAAATTCTTCTTGCTGTATCTCTTAATTCTTAAGTAATATTAAGTTAATATTAACTTAATATTCAACATTAAGTTCAGCTCATCAGACATTTAAAAAAATTCCTACCAGGTACCAGACACCATGCTGGGAGTTTAGGCCAGAAAGCAACTAGTTGCTATCCTTTAGACACTAAATATAATCGCAGTCTAACTTGTTACATGTTGAGGTAAAGAGGTATGTCAAGGGTCCTCCTGTTTGAAGAATAAAGGACAGACATTAAAGACAAGCTGTGGGTTTTAGGCAAAGCTTCCTGGGGGAGTTGACATTCTTTGTTGAGGTAAGAAGATGAAATAAAAAGTTAACCATTTAAGGAAAGGTAGAAAAGATGTTCAGACAGAAAAGTGTAACAGAGATGTGGAGGCAAAATATGAGGTACAAGTGTGGCAAGAAATGAAGCTGGCCACGAAGGATTTTGTGTGTCTTGGTGTTAGGGCTTGAACTTGTAATTAGTTACCAGGGAGCTAATGCAGGGATCAAAGCAGACAATTTAAATCTCTAGAAGTTTTTATTTATTGTCATATGATGTCTTAGATTTTATTAAACATTTTTATAAGATAACTTTGAGGTGAATATCATGATGAACATTTTTAAATAGAGCTATTTAGAGGTTTGTAAGGGTTTTTTTTTTTTTTTTTTTTTGGTCTTACTGTTGATCGCATCACATTTGCTTTCTCCCTTCTAGTAAACTTAGGTCCAGATCAAGCCTAACATTTTCTCTCTTCCTTCTTTCACTGACCCCATCTGAATTCTTGTTGTAATTATTGTAATGAGAGTTAATGAAGGAAAAAATCTCTGCAAATAAACTTGAGATTGCATTATTCCTGACAGTACTGTGTAATTGGAAGCTTTATTGTATCTTGCCTTCTTCTATTATCCTCGTACTGTTTTATTGCCTGCTTATGTCTATAATTGTGTACCTACTCAAACATACACACATACACATTTTGCCTACTAAGTCCCTTGAGACTTTTTTTTATTAGTGTAGCCTAATAAAGTGTTATGGGCTTCCCATGTGGCTCTAGTGGTAAAGAACCCACTGCTAATGCAGGAGACATAAGAAACAGGAGTTCGATTCCCAAGTCAGGAAGATCCCCTGGAGGAGGGCATGACAGCCCTCTCCAGTATTCTTGCCTGGAGAACCCCATGGACAGAGGAGCCTGGTGGGCTACAGTCTATAGGGGCGCAAAAAGCCAGACACGACTGAAACAGCTCAGCACACATGCACGGAATAAAGTTCTTTGAAGTGATACATTGGTAATGTGGGCTTCCCTGGCGGCTCAGACAATAAAGAATCTGCCTGCAATGCCGGAGACACCAGTTCAATCCATGGGTTGGGAAGATCCCTTGGAAAAGGGAATGGCTACCTACTCCAGTATTCTTGCCTGGAGAATTCCATGGACAGAGGAGCCTTGCAGGCTACAGTCCATGGGGTTGCAAAGAACTGGACACAATTGAGTAACTCACACAGATTATTGGTAATTTAGAATTGGTTATAGGTCTGTGAATTATGGTAGAAAGCAAGAAAAGGTTGTTGATTCCTTGTTGGAAGTAAAGAGAATTTGGTGAGAAATTTAGGAAGATGCAAGGAAAGACAGAAAATTAACTGATAACCTTCATGTACCCAAGAATTAAATCTTACCTAAAGGGTAGCATGGTGTTTGTGGAGGGATTGGTGGACAAAGGTGGCATTCTTGCTCTGTTATATACAAAATTGGCCAAAGGGTAGGAAATAGAAAAATATCTAGGCTGTGGCAGCTGGTGCAAGTGCTGTAAATAGAAGGAAGATACACTTAGGGCATGCTGTATGGATCCCTAAAGCAGTTTGTAATATAGGTGTATTAGGAGTATATAGGTAAGTTTAAAGTCTAACCTTCAGAAATGTGTTTTTCCTTTTTTCTGGGACATATCTTGTGTTTCCAGTATGTTCAGAGCCAGAGTGAAATGTAACACAATTCAAAAAATTATTTTTGTACCAGCACGTGTTTTAAAAACTGCTGATTGTCCAGTGCTGCTTTCAGCTGCATTTATAGCCATACAAATATACAAATATCTATAGGCCATTCATCCACTGTGATGACCAACAGTACATGTGAGGGGAAAAAACCTATTACGGTAGAAGACTAAGCATACTCCAATGTCTAGTACTAGGAAATGCTATTAAGTAGCTTGATTATTAGGCCATGTTTATATTATCATGATTTATTCCAGTCCTAAAAAAAAGCTATCTTTAATTTTCCTTCTAACAACTAAATAGGTATTATAAAACTTAATACCTGTTAGTATTACATTTAGATATCACATTTTGGATTTTTTTTAGAGGGATCTTGAGGTGAATTTGAATTTTCACAAGTAATATAACAATAAAGGCATATATCTTAAGGTTACAAATTATTATTTATTCTATAGAACTTTGACATTAATTCAGAATTTATAAAATTATTTTTTCTGGGTGGTATTAAACAGGGTATTGATTCTTGCTTAGTATTTACCCTAAATGCCTGTATGGTCTTTGCATAAGAATGGACCTGTTACTTGCATAATGAACACCATCTGCTCTAAATAAATGCAGAGAAAATATTGAGGCCTTAAAAAATCTGAGCAATAATGGCTCATGTACTTTCAGCCAAGTAAACCCTTAATGTGTAAAGAGATATGTTTTACTGTTGCACATGGATTAGTTTCTGCATTTAGAGTCTAGTCATATATATTCACAGCCATCTTTTTTAGCCAAAGGCATTTGTTAGTTTTTTGTCTATACTAGCTTGATGTAGATAACTTAAACAAAGGAGAGTATAAATACTGCCATAATTTCACAATCCAAAGATAACCACTGTTAATATAGTGTCATAGTTTCCTGTATTTTCGTCTATTTTCTTTTATATTTAACAATATTATTTAAAACATATTTGAAAATTATATATAACTAACATATATACTTATAACGAAATTAACATACTGTATATAAAATTTTGTCTTCCTTTTTTCAGTATCTGAGTTAAAATATTTGAAAGCACAATTTTTATTAGGTATGTAATATCCTGTTATTTAGGTATATTTAACCATTTCCTTATTGTTAAACTTTGGGATGCATTCACTCTGAAAGCTTTTTGGTTTTTTCCCACTATTATAAATCATGCTTCATTAAGCTTATCTTTGACAACATCTAAGATTCATATTGATTCTTTTGAAACTTGAGAGCAGAAAATAATTATAAAATATATCTCTGTTTTACTAGATTCTTATCAATAGATTGCTTTTTAGCTGATATATTACAGCATAAGATAAACATCTTAGATTCTAGAATCTAGGTGAGGTGAACATCTTAGAATCAAGAGCCTACACTCTGTCTCTATGGGTAGATTTGCTGTGTTCTTGTGCTCATGAATCCTAAGGCCTGATGTGGAACAGTGTTGGGAATGTAGCCCAGTTTGCATCTTTGATACAGGTATACCCCTTCTTTCTGTATGTATACTAATAACATAAATATGATCATAAACATACAAATCTATAGACTTTTAAATTTAGGGGAAAAGTCTTAAAGCCCAAGAATGACCTGAAGAAAGAAACACTAAGCCTAGAAGTTGGTAACCGTATTGATTTTTCAGAGGAGTGTGTGAGCAGCGAGACGGAGCGCCCTCGGAACTGAAGCAAAGAGCTCATCAGAACAGAGTAAAAGAGACAGATTTTAAGAACGAGTTTGAGCTAACTTGGGGTGAGAGTCTTGTGTATGGACAGGTATAGCTGTTAACAGGGGCAGGGGCCGTCCCTGGAGATCTCTCAGAGCACCAACAGTGTGTGTTGGTTGACCTCCACGATGTGCTTTCACGACTAGCACTGTATCAGTCTCATCCTTCATGAGTTTGTATTTTAATTTTTAGTATTTAGAGCACTGCAAGATAGATTCTTTGATTCGTCCATACTTTAGGGGCAGCACAATTGCAGCTTTCCTCGCTAGTAATCAGGAGAAATGCAAAGTAAACCACAAAACTGTCTGAATGGGGCAGATGTTGGCAAGGAAGTGATAAGCTGTCCTACTCAGCGCTAGCGGGATGAAGAGAAGGGACCAACTCTGTGATTAATTATTTATTTTTAATTCAAACAAAATAATAAGGTTGAAACCCCCAAGTGTTTGTTATATTTGTATCCCTTCTGACACATTTGAAATACCACTTTCTTTCTTTTCTAAAAGTAGTTGTATTACTTTGCCAGGCTGCTGTAACAGAGTACTGTAGGTAGGGTGACTTAAGCAACAGAAATTAATTTTCTTCCAATTCTGGAGAACAGAATTTTGAGATCAAGGTGTCAGCAGGCTTGGCTCCTCAAGGCCTTTCTCCGGCTTGTTAACGGCCTTCTCCCCGTGTCTTCATCTGGTCTCCTCTCTGTGTTTCTGTATCCTGTATACATCTGTATACATTTTTTAATAAAGATACTTGACTTGGCATATTGCTTTAAGGCCCACCCTCATGGCCTCATTTTAATTTAATTACCCATTTAAAGGCCCTTTCTCCTAATACAGTCACTTTTTGAGGTACTAGGGGATTAGGACTTCAAGGTAGGAATTTTGAAGGGAGGGACATAATTCACCTCAGAATAGCAGCAGAGGTAAATGTCTCATGGTTGGTATGATGGATAAATGGGATTCAGACTCAGATGTGGTTCAGTCCAAATGTTATTTTCAGAATGGTACTCTGCTAATTTTGGAACACTAGAGATGTACCTCAAAACTAGTTAGGTCTGTTTTTCCCAAGGCCAAGAGGGAAAAAATGCCGTCTTAAAAAGAAAACCAAGGAAATACGGAAACTGAAAACACCCCGTCTAATCACATTGTTCACTTGCTAAGGTGAATATAGGTGGCATTTGAATATAGGAAGGTATAGAACATGTCAAGTAGGAAATAAATGGAGGAAAAATGTGACAGAGAAGGAAAAAAGCTTAGGGATTCTTGTAAGAGTGTGCTAGAAGAAGAATACTGGATCTTCTATTACATAGGCATAGCAGAAGGAAGTATCTAAAAATATGTAGTCTGCCATTATTATATGAATTCAATTAATTGAAATAGTAGTTTTAATATTAAAACTGAATACTTGCAAATATCATAAAAGTTCCAGATAAATATGAGCTTCAGATACAGATTAGAACTCCAGAAAAGGGCTTTATGTGTAGTTGCTCACTCATCCGACAGAATTATAGAGCTCTTCACACATAGCAGGCTCTGTGCTGCATTCTGAATCTAAGACCCATGAAACAAGTCTATTTCTCTTAGTGACTCAGATGTCAGTAATAACCCACAACATGTGAATTCACCACTATATTTGTTTGCCCATGTAAAATTAAATTTAAAATGATTAGTTGTTTTTCTATGTTAAATTATCTTGTTATGTGAAGATACAACTTTAAAGAATCAAAGTTTTAAAATGAAATTAAATTATTGTATTACAATTGTAACTTTTTAAAAGAATTTGGTAGGTCTTACAGGCATTTTCAGTCGTTTTATTCTGAAATGAAATTCAGTAACTTAGTTCAAGTACCATAGGTGATACCAATTTCTGTGTCTGCTCTTTGTTTTTCTTCTTTTTGGGTAGAATATGCTTTTAAGCCTTCTTCCGTCTTTTTTTTTTTTTTTTTGGCTGTACCTTATAGCTATATTTGAAGCTGTATAGTATAACACATATCCTGTCTAAGATAACATCTTTTTTTCCCTTAATTACATATGTTATACCGTGCATCTTCTCTTTTTTAAAACAGATAAAAATAAGTGACTGAAGAAGCCTTTCTGGGAGTCATCATGCTGAGGAGAAGATTTGATTGCCGAAGCATTTCAGGCATGCTAACTACCACTCCTCAAACTCCAATTAAAGTGGAAAACTTTAATAATTTTTACACACTTACATCTAAAGAACTGGGAAGGTAAGGAAACTTTTGATGTGTGTGTGTTTAAAATCACCGGATTTCTTTGTCTATATTTTTATAAAACTCACTTGATTATTATTTAGCAATGATTAGAAAGAAAAGTCCTCATCTCCGCTGATACTGTGCAGGGATCTAGTCTTAAGTGACCTGGAAATCAAATCCATGGAGGGTTAGTGAGCATGTATGATATACCGCACCTCGCTTCAGAGCCCGTGGTGGGAAGTCAGGGCTCTTACTTGAGGCTGTCCAAGGGAAGAGGCAGCTTAGCATAGTGGACTGTCACATCAGAATTTGGGGTTAGCCATTTGCTATTTGACCTCAAATTACTGTACCTCTCAGTTCTGTAGTTTCCTCATCTGAGAAGTGGGGATGAATATATATTTTATATGGTTGTTGTGAGTCTTGAACAAGTTAATATTTATAAAATATTTAGTAGAATGCTATAAAGTTTTTGTTGAATAGCTTTTCTCATTCTTAGAATATTGTGCTGGCCTAAAAAAATGCGGAGATTCCCCTCCTTCTCTTTTCTAAACAAAATGAATTAATTCATATTTGGTAGCATAATTCCATATGAGAAACAATGCATGTTCTGTAAGTGAAGCCTGTATTTATTTACACTGATACTGATCTGTTTTGGTTTAACGAAGGTGTAAATTCCTTCAGGCCAAGGAGTGACCTACCATTTGAATATATATGAAAATTGTATAAGATATACCAAATAATTTGATATGTATTCAGCATTTTGAGCTTTAAATTTAAACTCTTAACAAAGGGAGGATGGTGATCATTTTCTGTCTTTAGTTTGATTTTTATGTTAAAATAGTAAAAGTCCATGTTTATATTAATGGATGCACAGTAAAATAGTGTGAATGAGTTTTTGTCTTTGATAATCTCAATGTGAAAACAAAAATTGACTGAAACATGGCAAGTAATTCTGTTCATGGTGGTCTTTTATGTCAAAGATGAAAGCAAGTCCTGGCTTTTTCACTTGTCAGATATTGGGAGCAGTCTTTCTTTTACAAAATAAGGGTGATAATATCTATGTCACAGACTAAGAACTAAATATGGAAGCATATTTATTTCATAATTCCAGGCATATTTATTTAATTTTGTGTGCAAAATATTTGGGCCTTTAATGGTTTATGAAAAGATATAGTTTTTAAAAGCTTTCAGGGTATTTTCAAGAAATAGTTTAGTTCTGAGTCTGTAATTATTTCTCTTTGCATTATACAGGAAAGAGTAAGTGTTCTTTAGTTGACTGTATCTCATTACTCATTAAATAGTCATAGAGTCTTTGCTTTGGAAGAACTTCAATGGTCAGTGGCCTAATATAATTTTTGATGCAGTGCAGCAATTTTTCCTGTAATTTTTCTGACAAGTTTTTTATCCAGCCTCAATTTGAATGTCTTAGAAATAGGGAACTCACTTCCTCAGAATATGCCTGTTCCATTTTGTGGGCACTTACACACAGAATTCTGTTTTCTGCTAATCTCTACCTAATATACGTAGTTCCCCTTTTGTAGCTGTGTATAATATCCATGTAAAAATCCTTTAGAGATTTGAATGTAGCTAAATGTTGCCAGTTTCCTTAGATGCTCATCTTATGACCTGATTTCCAGACAGTTCCTTGATCCATGTATCCTCTTCTGGATCACTTGTAGCTTTTTATCCTCAGTCTTAAAATGAAAAAGTCTAGATTGGATGCAATATTGTTAATCTCTTACCATCCAAAATACAACAAAACTTTATTGAGATAGCCTGTGTGGGAGCTAGAATGACTGATTGTTTTTTTTCTTTGTTGGTTTTGGAGAACATAAACTTTGGGAACAATATTAAGAATTTGACATTGTTTTGTAAATGGGGTGCCATCATAAATCACAATCATAAACTTGACTCAGTTTATAACATTTTAGAGCAAAAATTCATGATAAACTCTGATGAAAACAAATTCAGATTTCTAATATTTCATCTTTTAATAACTTCATGAAAGAGACCTTTTTTCTTTTAGTTGATATGGCCTAATGAGTCACCTGGTAAATATTGATATATCTCATTAATAAACCTTGATAAATTGAAGTCATGACCTTTCATCTGCCATGAACTTGCTTTAAATTCTTTCAGTGTTTTACCAATTTTGATATTATCCCACACTTTTGCAAAGTGAAAGTTAGGATCATAATCTTGATTCTTCTGAGACTTATATGTTTTGAAACATACAAACATAATTCTAGCTTGTGATGATTACAAAATTATTTTTATAAATCAGTTTTTAAATTAATTTTAAGATGTTTAATGTTTTAGAATTTTTCTTTAAACAAGTTAGAATAAGATATGTAAAAGTTAGCAGTTAATTTTTGACTGTTCTCAAAAAACTTTGCATTGTTCCTGTTTTTTAACATGTTGGGTAAGTTTTTTCCACCCCTCCCCCAACTGAATCAAGGTTTCATAGGACTTCTTGTGGTTAGAAGGGTGAGGCAGATGCAGAAATAAAACGTCAGCTTCCTTTGTGGCTTACCCTCCCCCCTCCTTTCACATTTTATTGTCTGTTCTAGAATGTAGAAGGGTAACTAACTAAACCTTTTAGCTGCTGGGAAATCTAGTTAGCCTTGCCCTTTTAGGTTATGCATTAAAGTATTATTGTTAAGGGTTTTAAATTTTCCTAAATGTTTCTGTTAAATTTCATATAGGGACATTATGTGACTGTGCAACACCATGGACTGTAGCTCGCCGGGCTCCCCTGTCCATGGGATTCTCCAGGCAAAAATACTGGAGCGGGTTTCTATTTCCTTCTCCAGGGGATCTTCCTGACCCAGGGATGGAACCCATGTCTTACATCTCCTGCATTGGCAGGCAGATATTTTACCACTAGCACCACCTGGAAGCCCTAACTATTATTTTGGATACTTCTAAATGACAATTAGCATTTTAGAATGGAAAACAAATACTTGGTTTTTTCCCCCTAAGTCATCTGATATTATGGTAAAAATATTTAAAGATCCTCTGGAGAAGAGAATGGCTACCCACTCTAGTATTCTTGCCTGGAGAATTCCATGGACAAAGGAGCCTGGTGGGTTACAGTCCATGGGATCACAAAGTGTCAGACACGACTGAGTGATTGACACACATAAGTGAATATGTGTGTAAAATTTTGAGTCTCAAAGAAGGTTTAAAAATGTAAATGCTTTAAGTACAGTATACAGAATAGCACAACTTATGGTACTGTGTTAAGTGCATAACTCTTGCATTGATTCAACAGATATTTCTATAATGGAAATAGATGTTTCTATTATGTGTTAGTTAGTGAGGTGTAGATTTTATGATTAATAATTAGGACAGATAGGGTTTCTGCCTTCATAGGGTTTTTAGTTAGCGATGAGCATTGGCAAATAAGTAGTTACCAGTATTGTTTGGTCATCTTTGCTCTGCATTAACAAGTACTATCCTTGTAAGCCTCATGAGAATACCTGAAACAGTTAAAGTGCTTATTATTATTTAATTTTGCTGTTTGTTTCTGAGAGAATTCTGGCTTGTAGATGTAGTTATAAAATTACAGCAGAACTTAATTGTTACAGCTGGTACTGTAAACTTTTTCAGATGGACAGAGTTCTTGGCTAACTAGCTTCTGTTTCCTAAGTTTTACAAGGTGAATTTCTTCATAAAACTTAAAATTTCCTTTTTGTTTTAGACAAATTTTCACTTCTGAATCTAAATAAGAATTGGCAGAAGTGAATCTACTTCTTTTTAAAAAAAAAAAATCTTAAAGGAAGGAATTGTTTTGTAGTGGTCAGAATAGAAAGCTAGGATTTCACATTCCGCAATTTAAGTCATGGCAGTCCATTTCCATATATGACCTTTCAAGAGTCATTTACTCCTAGTCTGACCCAATTTATTGAGTTTAAAATCTATAAACATAGACACTTTGAATATAAAACAAAGGGACTGATTGACTTTTTTTGTGAGCTCATTGAAATGCTTTGATCTGTATTCCTTTTGCATATGGTGAGAAAATACAAATTAAACATTCTCAAATCTTAAATGAAAAGTTCTATCAAAAAAATTAGTTTATGCATGCAAATTTTCTGAGTTGATATATATTTTTATACATGTAGAAGAATCAAATTACAGCTTGACCACTTTCTTAAAATTTTTTTTGCATTAGTAGCTATACCTTTTCATCTTGATTTCCAGTCAGTGCTTTTCATTGGCACCAATTTTGAGGAAATTGAGAATATAAAGAGTAGGGATCTTTGTCATCCTGCCCTTAACAATAGTAAGTAAAAATGATAAGCAATTTATTCTGTCCCTGACTTCCACCCCAAATTTAAAGTATATTAAAAATAGGTTTTTATTTATACCTGATTTGTTGGTATTCAGTGAGTCATTTGAGCCTTAGGATAGAAGTTCTTAATTTTAGAACCCATGAACCAGGCTTAGGAAGTTTATGGATAGTCTTTGAAATCTAAAAACCCTCTGGAATTATATGTAAAGCTTTCTTTTTAAAGGCATGTGTACATTTTCTGGGTAGGCAGTCAATAATTTTTATTAGTTTCTTAAAACAATCTGACTCAAAATAGCTTGAGTCTTTGGGAAACTAGATTTGGGAAAACCGTAGGCTTAGAATACTTGGGCTTCCCTTGTGGCTCAGCTGGTAAAGAATCTGCCTGCAATGTGGGAGACCTGAGTTTGATCCCTGGGTTGGAAAGATCCCCTGGGGAAGGGAAGGGCTACCCACTCCAGTATTCTGGCCTGGAATTCCATGGCCCGTGTATAGTCCATGGGGTCTCAAAAGAGTCAGACACTACTGAACGACTTTCACAGTCTTTACTTTAGAATACATAAGTTTGCCAGAGTCTTTCAAAAATTGGCTGAAATGTTGTGCACTGTTACTGGATAGAGCTAAAACATGTTTATTCCTAAAACGATAAACATGACTTTAATAATGTGTTTTGATAACCATGAATTTTCTTAGTTAATCATGAAGTGTCTTTGGATATTTTCCACAAGACATGTATACTTTTGATATATCTATTACAAACTTTGTGGACTACTGAGCAATACTAACAGATACTCTGGTAACACAACTGACAAATTGTGTTAAAAAGCTTCAAAGGTTGTCGAAAGTGATGTTTACACTAATAGAAGTAAACAAGACGAATACCCATTTTTGCATTTAATTTTTTTCATCTGAAGGAAAGCTAAACTTTTTAGCAGAGGGGAATAGACCAAGATACATATCTTCTCTGGAGTCTGCCAGACAGAATAATATTTACTCTATAGGATTGTTATCATACTTAAACAAAATAATTCATATCAAGAGTATGGCATGGAGTTGGTGGGCAAATGAGATCTCTCCCTACAATGGTAATGCATCATGTTATGATAGTGAAGGATAAATATAATTATGTCTTATATTACATTTGCCATTTGTATTTTTGTGTGATGATACTATAAATTTTATAAAAGTACATGTAGTAATTGATTAGATTAAGAGAGCAAAGGTAAATTCCTAATGGCATGGATGTTTGAAAGGATTGATAAAGTTATAACAGTATCTGTGTTATACTAACTTTTGTTCTTACTTTTCCCCCAGAGGAAAATTTGCTGTGGTTAGACAATGTATATCAAAATCTACTGGACAAGAATATGCTGCAAAGTTTCTGAAAAAGAGAAGAAGAGGACAGGACTGTCGCGCAGAGATTCTCCATGAAATTGCAGTACTTGAATTGGCAAAATCTTGTCCCCACGTGATTAATCTTCATGAAGTCTATGAAAATACAAGTGAAATCATTTTGATATTGGAATAGTAAGTATACTCTTTAAAAAATTGCAGTAAGTTTATAGTACCTATTTGAATTGGTGGGTAAGGTTGCTTGAAATGTCAAGAACAAGAATGATAAAAGTATAACAAGAACTTGTAAAGATTCCTGTTAATAAAATATTAGAGGAACATAGTATATATTTGTATATTTTCAGAAAACTTATAATGTGTAGCCTCACACAGATACCCCAAAATGAATTAAACAGCATTCAGTAAACAAATGACAATACAATGTTTATAGTGAAATTGAGTATACTTTCATTGCCAATGGCACAGAAAATAGACTGTTTTCTGCTAAACAGTCTGATGGGCAGATAGGTTTGAAATAATTTGTATATTCATTTATTTGAAAAGCACATCCAGTGAAGTTACCCAAGGAGAATAAAAAGGTAAACTTGCATGAATGAAAGGTAAACCATGTAGTTTGAGTTTAATCTTCTACATGTTAACTTTATTGTGTTATGGGAGTTTTTAAAATGATATTCTTGACTTTCTTACGAATTTCTAAACTGTGCTTTAGAAAGCTGTAAAAGACAAACATAGATGTAAGTAGTATATAGTTCACAGATTTATGTGACAGCGTAACTGTACTAAAGTACTATTATCGCATTCATTGACAGATGAACAACACATACACAAGCACATAAGCAAAAAACATAAATACTCCAAATTTCTGAATTTTTTCTTCTCTGTAGTCACTGGTCGGGGTACCTTGTTTTAACAAAGGGTCTGTTAGTCTGTTGCTCTTCACTGCTTTCCATTTACGCTTCCAGTTTCTGCTAACTTCTGCTTCTTGTGTTATCATTTCTTCTCCTTTTAACTCCTCTTCATTTTCTGTTTACCATAGCTTCATCTTTGGAAAGCTATGGTAAATTATGATAAAGAGATTTCCCTCTTTTGTGGGAAAAATGGTAGTCCTACAAAAGACATTGGTCAGCTGGTCAAACTAAGAGGTAGAGACAGTGTGATTGGCTGACAGTCACGGTGTTTGTTTGATCTCATTACTGAAATAAACAAGCCCAAACCCCTTAGGATACTTTTACTGGTATAAAAGTAACATCTATTTATTGTGTTAAATTTAGAATGTATAGAAAATAGAAATCATTTGTAAACAGTGGTTACTTTTATGACATATTCCTCTATTTTGAAATTATTTTATTTTTCTAGGTATGTATACTTTCAGAAACAAAATCGTGATCTATTAAGTGTATGGTATTATAATCCTTTTTTTCCACTTAAGAATATGTTGTGTGCATTTATATATATATACATACACATATGTATATATATATATATATACATACACATATGTGTATATATATATATATACATACACATATGTATATATATATATATATATATATAATATAGTGTTTCTAAAAATGAATTTTAATTTAGCAAAGACTTTTAAAGTTGACTTCATAATCAAAGTTTAACAAGCAGCCCCCAAATTCAGAAAGGCTGGATGTTGGCTAGATTTGGAATTAATATTTGTTGACTCATTATAATAATAGCTAATATTTATTGAATATTTACTGTGTGTCAAATACTACAAGTGATCTGCTTTGATTCTTATAACATCTGTTGTACTCAGTACTTGATGTGGCTTATCTGATTTAATTCCTAGAGCAAGCCAGTGAAGTTAGAGCTGTCATTTTTTGTTATGTATCACTATGTTACAGTGGAAGAAACAGAAGCATGTTTTGTCCCAGCTCAGGTAACTAGTTAGGCAGGGTCTGGATGGAAGTCAGGCTGCTTGTTTTAGTAGGTACTTCCACAGGCAGCCTGCTGTCTTCTTATGTCTAGGCATTGGGAAGTGCTTTACATGTGTTTTCTCAAGTGGTTTTCTTATATTTTATTTTGAATTTTAGAATTAATGAGAATTCTGTCTATTGAATTAACTTTAGAGATTGTAATGTCAGTGTTGGTATATAAAAAATTATGAAGTGTTCAAGAATGAAGTTTTCATCTAAGCATTTTATGCTGCCATATACTGCTGGATACTGAAGAATTTAGGTCTTTCTGGGATTTCCCATAGTTTTGGGTATTTTCCATATTTTAAGAGTGGCTAGGGATCCATATTACATACAGTTTTCTTTTAATAATCTAATAATTTGGTCTGATTTCTTATCAGATGTGTCTTATAAAGGGCCTAGCAAAGAACTCATTCTAAGAGAATCTGAAGTATCTCTTCATTTTCTCATTTGCTTACGATTGCATGATTAACCTTATCTGTAGTGTCCTTGCAGGAATATATTTTGACCACTTGTTTTGAGAAGATTCATTTCATTAAAGCTAAATAACATAACCAGAAAGGGGAGAAGTGAGGTATCCTAAGTAGCTTGGGCTGTGGAATCCCCCTTCCCTCAGGAGACCTTGAGCAGGGTTACGACAAGTAAACAACTGATGTGTGAACTGAGGGGCCACGTGGGTAGTCTGAATATTAGCTATCCACAAAGATTAGTTTCTTTTTTAGATGAATGAGTTTCAAATGTTGTCTTCTGGTACCTAACTTTGGAGGTCACTACTACATGTTTTATAGCAAAGTAAATTTTTCATACTCAGACTGTCTTTACTATGAAACCTTGAAGTCGGCTCTTGAAGTTAGTTTCTCATGAACTTCCTGGGAGTTTGGGGGGCTGGAGGTCATTGAGACAGGCAGTAAACACTATTGAAGCACGCCCACGTGTGCCTTAGCAGCTGTCCCTCAGATTTCTCTGAAACACTGTCAAGTGTCAGCAGCAAAGCCCTGCAGCTTCTAATCGGCACGCTCTGTGCAGGTGACCTCATGGCCTGGTTACCTCTGCAAGTGTGAAGGGCCAATCCTGTGATTTTCAGTGAGACTCAGATTTGTGACCATGATTCTTTTTCCTTCTTGTGACTCCAGATATACATGACATACTTCTTCCTCTTGACAGTCACCAAGACTAATGAATTGCACTTTGAGCTGCTCTGAAGAATGACTGTCTATTCCATTATTCATTCATTCAACAGATGCTTACTGCATACCTTCTATGTGCCAGACACTCTTCTTGTTGCTGTCGATACAGGAGTGAACCAAAGGGGGGAAAATAGTGTTCTGTGAAATAAATGAGTTTCTGATTTATCATATAGAGTAGGCTTTAGTTGAGATATTCCCAACCATACCTTATAAATTTTTATTAATAACATCTAGATTTTTTTTGCATGATTTCTGACAGCTTTTATCTCATTCATTTAGATTTAGTCCTTAGAAAAAAAATCTGTTGAGTTCAGTTATATTTCTGTTTTACAGATGAGGAAGCTCAAATAAGTGATTGACCCTAAATTATATTGCTGGCAAATAGCAGATTTAAGATTTAACTTTCAATCATTTGATTTCAAACCTAGGAATTTTTCATTATGCGTTTGTTGGCATTCTTTAGATTTTCAGCTCTTATAAACAAAGAAAAAAAATTTGGGTTCTGGCCCCAGCTATTCTTTGTAAAGCTGCAACACAGGATATTGGTTAAGAATGTAGATTCTCATCCATATTATACAGATTCAGATTCTGCCCTCTCACTTAATTTCACCTCTTTGTATTTATTTCTTTATCTGTAAAATGGGAATGGTAGCCATGATTCACATGATTGTCTTGAGAATCAAAATATCTATGTACAGATGACAGGTATGTTTATATATAATGAATAAATGAGTAAAATAGAGCAGAGCTGAGCTCATAGGTGAATACTAGCACCCAGACTTTAAACTATTCTTGTCATTTATTTTATTTCTTAAAAATCCCTCCCAGCACCATTCACCGCCCCCCATTGAATGTGTATATATAGAGAGATTAAAGTTTAGGTGGCCATACCTTTTACTTAAAGGTATATAGTATTTAAAAGTTGTCATTTTTAGATCAATGATTTTTCAAGTTTCTATTCTTTGAATTTTATTTCAGTGCTGCAGGTGGAGAAATTTTCAATTTGTGTTTACCTGAGTTGGCTGAAATGGTCTCTGAAAATGACATTATCAGACTCATTAAACAAATACTTGAAGGAGTTCATTACCTACATCAGAATAACATTGTACACCTTGATTTAAAGGTAATGTCATGTAGTTTTAAGTACCACTACGTCTCTGTTCCTTCTCTGCTCTTGCTTTGCGCAACTAACTGCAAACTGGTATTGAGAGGAAACAATAGGCCATGCTTGTCTAGACTGTCTATGTGCTACGTGGACTTACTTCTGTATTGATAGATAGAAGACTGCATGTGTGAGCAGCTCAGATTAATCACTGGGCTTTTAAAAACCATCATTACATATGTTCTAATGCTACCGTCATGTCACTCCATCCCGTTCTTACTGCCACATCTTGGACTTTTTGTCTTATAAAACTGTCTATCTCTGAAATACTTAATTTTTAGCTACCTCTTGAAGATAATCTGCTAGTCCTCACTCCTTTGCTCCCATTATACTCATTTGTCTCTCGCTTGAGGCTTTTAGTCTTTTGGCTTCTCCTTTTCCCACACCCCGCCCCAGGCCGCTCAGGCCCCTTCCTTCTGCCTCTCCTTTTACTACCCCTTCTCCTTCTCCTTCCTCTATAGCCACACGGGAACCTGGAAGTCTGGACCAAATCATCTCTCGTTGTTTGAGCACTGGACTCCTCCGTTCCTGTACACTCTCCTTGTCATGGGCCCTCCCGTGCCTCTTTCTGTCTGAGGTACAGTCCTGGGGTAGTCAGACCCAGGACCGTACCGCTGTACTCAACCATTAGCTCTTTCTGGGTGTGAATGCGTTCTTATTTGTTCATGCCTTCTTTCTTGCTATTCTCTAGACCACTTTTCTCACTGGCATGCTTCTGTTTAGCCTTCAGGATTCACCTTAAGCATCCTCTCTACTGCAGAGCCTTCTTGGACTTTCTTATGGGCAGAATTAAGCAGTCTTTACTACCGAGTATTCTGTATATCATAATCAGTTAATCAATCAATGTATCCACCTTTTTTTATTAAAACCAAGAATACTCTTGAAGTGTATTTTTTTACTTATCATTGACTCTATAGCTCCTCCTAAGTAGTAGTTCAGTAAATGTTTGGTGGATGACTCAATAAATGTTTAATAACTAAACAAATTCTACTTGTTACCTCTGATTTGAGTTTAGTATTCTTTTCTTGTTTTATATTATTTATCATTTCTTTTTGTACTTTACTAGCCACAGAATATATTATTGAGCAGCATATATCCTCTTGGGGACATAAAAATTGTAGATTTTGGAATGTCTCGAAAAATAGGGAATGCATGTGAACTTCGGGAAATCATGGGAACACCAGAATACTTGGGTAAGAATTTCCTTTATTTTATATACCACTTTGAAATTTATTAATAAGTGATACCTATATAGAACTATTTTAGGGCATGTAACTCCAGGATACATTTGGTTCAAGTATTTTAGTGCATTGAAATTCAATTTTGACATATTTAAATGAATTGTAGTGAATGGAGACAATCACAATTGACAGGACATTGGATATGTAAGTTAAAAATTTCATGTTTGTGTATAAAAGCTTTGTACATAAAGAAAAATAGGTAAAAAGGAAGTCAGGAAGCAGAAGAAAATGAAAAAAGAGGAAAACTGGATCAGTGTTACTGTATTTAAAGCCTTTTTGTTTGATAAATGTCACTTTTACTTTTGTCCTAGTGAGGTTTTTGCTGTGAGTTGTAAAAGGAGGATTTTTAAAAAGAAGGGTGTTAAGTACAACCTATTATTAGATAATCTAGGAATATTGTACTAAGTCAACAAATTAGATCATGGAGATGAAAGATGTTTTTAAGTCCTGTAAAGCAGCACATAAATGGTAAAGTATTTTAATTTGTAGTAACAATCTTTTTACACTTTTTCTTGTTGCTCATATTGATATCCCTATGCAGGCATTGAAAAGATACGAGTAAACAGAACAGGTGCTACTGAGCAAGGGAGCTGACTTTCCCAAAATGAAAAACAAAGCAAATTACTAACTTCTAAATGCTGATAGAGGCTACAGTGTCCTCAAATAATGATTGTGATTATATATAATATAGTTCACAGAAGTATGTGAGAAGGTAGCAGGTGGTGCAGTGGAGGCTGACAATATATGTGACTCAAAGGCTTTATTAACCAGACTGTTATGCTTTAGGTAACAGTCTCTGTTTGGAGAAGTTATGAAACCATACTGTGAAACTAAAAAGTTATTCAAGTATAGATACTAGTTTGGACTCTACTGATTTGAAATTTATAGTAATGTTCTGAAAGTATAGAGAATTTATGTTGTACCATTAAATTTTTTTGGTGGGGGGGCGGGCGGGGCAAAGGAGGAGACTGGAAAATTAATTGCTTAGGAAACTAGGTTTTAGATTGTTTAAAAGGGATGTTTAATCTACTTGAAAATCTGAAAACACTTCCAGGAAGCTGGTTTGTTCATAGTGTCATTTTTGAATGCATATGAGTCTATTTACCCTGAGAAGAAAAACTGAAATCATTCTAATAAAATAACTCAAACTAATTCCTAACAGAGTAATAAAACTAAAATTGTAAAAAGATTTTAGCTTCTAACATTTTACATCTTCATAATTGCTTTTTCTGAGGTTAATCTTAATCATTTTAAAAAAAATACTGCATAGCTACTGGTTACTCCCAGAATATAATTGGTGCTTTTGAACCATCTGGTTATATAATTTTCTCAACATTAGGTATATCTAAATGTCCAATCACAGGATAATAAATTCTGTGCTAAATTTCTGCTGACATATTGGCGATTCTTTAAAATTAAATCCAGTTTACTTCAAAGTAACTGTCATGTTTTTATATTTGTCAGTATTGAATTTGAATTTTATTTTCTCTTTCAGCTCCAGAAATCCTGAACTACGATCCCATTACCACAGCAACAGATATGTGGTAAGATTTTGTTAATTACTTGTTTTCCTTTATTAAAAGCTGGCTAGTACATATTCTGTGGTTCTTTGGTTCAAAATGTAAATAGTAAGGCTATCTTCAAAAGATTTTATTTGAGTATCATTATTATGCCACAGGAAAACATTTACCTGTTCATTCTTTTTAATAACAGTTTGGCTCTGAGCCAAAGTACGGTAATAAATAGGAAAATCCTTTTCCCGGAGGAAGACTCCTTCTGGTAAAAGAACAAAATAGTCGCAGTGCTGTGCTATATGTTCTATAATAAAGATAGAATGCTGTTTAACAACCATGGAGGAAGCAGCGGGAAAGCACCAGACGGGAGACATATGATCTAGGTCTAGGAGAACGAGGAAGATATTTACTCGATAGAAAAATGAGATTAGATCCATTTAAAAGTTTAGTTTTATGAGAGTATATTTCTTGGGTATTGTGAGTTTATATGGTTGACACAGAGAGAATATTATAGGGTAGAGATGGCATTGATACCAGAACTTTACTTGAGACCACAGTGGTGGACTGACTCCATCAGACCAAGAGGAAGAGTTTAGTTTGCCTGTAGGGAGATGAAATGGATTTGGTAAGAAAAAGGGTCCTATGGCTGAATAGGTGGGTGAAATAGGTGCTATGTGTATTGTCTTTTTCTGGTTCCTGAAGACAGTTGTCATTAACATATCTATGGTTCTAAAAGTTTTGCAATTAAAAAGAACTCTGCCTGCCCAATACTGTGCTTTACCAAACCTGCAGCCTCTGTTTGTATGGAATCGTATTTATACCTCACAGATCATCACTGTGTCATTGGACGCCATTTGGGAAATGCCACTCAGGACAGCTTTGTGTACTTGATAAACAGGCGTCTGTGTGAAGGGCAGACTGTAGATATAATGATACATATTTAATACATTATTTTTATATAACATACATGTGCATTATTCCCTCAGTCTTTTTCTGTGAGGCAAACTTTGAGACAGCATAATTATTTCAGCTTTAATAGTATACTATGGGAACTTTGAAAAGCAGTTTAAAATCTGTAGTTTAACTGCACAAGATTTGAGGACAGGAATATGTTGAGAATCAATTTTACTTTATGTAAGTGTTTTAAGATTAACACACTTTTTTTTTTTCCATTTATTTTTATTAGTTGGAGGCTAATTACTTTACATGATTGCAGTGGTTTTTGTCATACATTGAAATGAATTAGCCATGGATTTACATGTATTCCCCATCCCAATCCCCGCTCCCACCTCCCTCTCCACCCGATCCCTTTGGGTCTTCCCAGTGCACTAGGCCCGAGCACTTGTCTCATGCATCCAACCTGGGCTGGTGATCTGTTTCACCCTAGATAATATACATATTTCGATGCTGTTCTCTTGAAACATCCCACCCTCGCCTTCTCCCAGAGTCCACAAGTCTGTTCTATACATCTGAGTCTCTTTTTCTGTTTTGCATATAGGGTTATTGAGATTAACACACATTTTAAGTTCCCAACTTCTCAGTTATTTGTTTTTTCAGGAATGTTGGTGTAATAGCATATATGTTATTAACTCACACATCGCCATTTGTGGGAGAAGATAATCAGGAAACATACCTCAATATTTCTCAAGTTAATGTAGATTATTCGGAAGAAACTTTTTCATCAGTTTCACAGCTGGCCACAGACTTCATCCAGAGCCTTTTAGTAAAAAATCCAGAGTAAGTAATATTAATTTACTTAAATACTATTATGAAATAAATTACATATGACTATTAAGAAAGACACATTATAAAACAGTATAAAATTATTAGATGTTTGCTTTCTTAAGTTTCAGGTAAAATGGGAAGAGAGGTGGTATGAGAGATCATTAAATGATAAATCTATAACTTCAAACATAGGAAATATAAAATATATAACAGGAAATCTTGAATTGAAGAGAAGATTTGAGTTCTCTGTCTCTCAACCTGCTACTATCCTCTGAAATTCCTTAAAATGATTAGTAGTAGAAGCGATGGCTCGGCAGTAAAGAATCCACTGCCATGCATGAGACGCAGGAGACATAGGTTCAGTTCCTGGGTCAGTAAGATGCCATGGAGGAAGAAATGGCAACCCACTCCAGTATTCTGGAAAATCCCACGGACAGAGGAGCCTGGAGGGCTACAGTCTGTGGGGTCACAAAGAGTCAGGCACAACTGAGCAACTGAACACACACACCAAAGATGTATAATATACGTGGCTGGCTATGATAAGACTTTGTTATGAATTATTTGTAGTGAAATAACTATAGTTGTATAACAAGTTCAGATACTGATTGTCAAATTTTTAAGGGGCAGATACTCTTTGCCGGCTAAAGAAGCTACTTGAAAGTATGTCTTAAGACTCTTACCTCACTCACTGGCGGCTTCAAAGCAGGAAAAGAAAACGCTCACCTCCTTTTCTTTACCGGGATAAGTCCTGTATGTGCGCACTCAGTTGCTCAGTTGTGTCTGACTCTTTGCAGCCCTATGGACTGTAGCCCACCAGGCGCCTCTGTCTGTGGAATTTTCCAGGCAGGAATGCTGGAGTGGATTGTCATTTCCTCCTCCAGGGGATCTTCCCGACCCAGGGATGGAACCCATGTCTCCTGCATTGCTGGTGAATTCTTTACTGCTGAGCCACCTGGGAAGCCCCCGGGTCAGCCCTTTTTACCTTAAAATGCCTTGGCTGCCCGTAACTCAGATGCTGTGATACAGTCTTGGGCTGGGATCCTGGATTTGCTACTTGTCAAGTCTTCTCTCTCTGACAGTTGCTTAATCTCCTGGAGGATTCCCTTTCCTTATTTGCTTAAGAAAAAAGCCCTAGGCTTAATGCAAGTCTTAACGAACACTGACTAGCTCTATTTCGGGCTTCCCAGGTAGTGCTCTTGGTAAAGAACCTGCCTGCCAATGCAGGAGACGTAAGAGTCACGGTTCGGTCCCTGGGTCAGGAAGATTCCCCTGGAGGAGGACATGGCAACTCACTCCAGTATTCTTGCCTGGAAAATCCTATGGACAGAGGAGCCTGGCAGGCAACCATTCATAGATGGTTATTTAATAGAAATAGTGATTATTCTATGTGTTTATGGTTTTAAACTGTTTAGTTTTCTTAAATATTTTTCACTTAGATTCTAACATTTCTGTAATGAGCACCTTAATTTTTTTATAATCATAAAATCTTTTTTAATAATCATAAAAATTGAACATAAAAACAAAGATTAAGGAAACCTACATTCTAATGGTTATGGTGGTTATGTTAAGGTTGAAGTTTTCTTTCCTTCTGAAGTATTATGATATTTGACCATGTTGCTTTCACAAGAGAAAACAAAATTTAAAAACTAAAAATATTAGATAAACATCTTTGAAGAGTAGTCTCTGTTTTCAAGATTTAACTGTTACTACTTTTTAAGAATAAAGTATATAGAGATTATAATTTACTTACATGTATTTTCCTTCAAAGGGTTTATAAACCCAAGAGTCTTTATAATTTTACTGATTTTTACTTGTAAGGCTAAAATATGTTCCCTAGTGTTTTGACTAGATAGTCCTGTCTGTAAGGTTCATGACTTGTCAGCACGTGTCGGAATTAAACAAACTGTAGGTGTTCCACTTTTCTTATTATTATTCCCTCTTGTACTATGGGTATGTGTTATTTTCAGAATAGATTAAAAAATAAGCCTATAAAGTACTGAACTACAGACATTTCCAACCTGATTTTTAGATCTCAATTTTTTCTTGGTGATTTTGTTCAAAGGAAAAGACCGACAGCCGAAATCTGCCTTTCTCATTCCTGGCTGCGGCAGTGGGACTTTGGAAGCTTGTTTCACCCTGAAGAAACCTCCACTTCCTCTCAAAGTCAGGATCATACAGTAAGGTCCTCAGAGGACAAGACTTACAAACCGTCTTGTAATGGTGCCTGCAGTGACCGAGAGGACAAGGAGAATATCCCGGAGGACAGCAGCTTGGTGTCCAAGAGATTCCGCTTTGATGACTCACTGCCTAACCCCCACGAACTCGTGTCAGATTTGCTCTGTTAGCACTTTCCTCCTTAACCCATGTGAACTGAATCTGGAATCTGAAATCCACTCCCGTGTGAGATTGTGGTTTGTAGCTTCACATATGGCATGTTTATATTGTAAATGCACTTTTGCATTGAAGAATTTAGGGAAATGTTTGAATGCTAAATTAGTAGTTACTAGCATAATTTCATTCCCTATACTGAGATATCGACTCTTCAAACAACATTTAAATATATAACAAAAATAAAATTGTACTTGTGAGTTTACATGTTAATGAAAGAATTTGGGTTCAAATGGATTTATCAAAATGTCTTCCATATCAGGAAAAAAGTGATTTGGGTTATATTATGGTTGATGTAAACTAAACAAAATGAACACAATTGAATTTAATAGATTCTCCAAGGTAAGCCCTACACCATGCCTCTATTGACAAAATTTTGTTTAGGATAACAGTTTCAAGTTTAAATAAAAATATAGCTATTCTATAGATGCTCAAGATATTTAACACTTGAAAGTGTTTTTCAGTCATGGATATTTTGAAACTGCATTACATATGATCCACTATATGAGACAGGTCCTTTAACCAGAGCAGAGGAGGGGTTAGAAAGTGGATTAGGGATATTCTATACAAGTTAAAACAGAGGAAAGAGCAGCATGGCATCATTTTTAACTCAAATGTCTTTTGCCCACTCTCACCATACTTCAGACAAGGTCTGAAAGATGGAGAATAAAAGCTATTCAAGTGTAGAGGGTTTTCATCCTCCAGATTCTCTAGAATAGAAGATGCTTAGATGAAGCTGAATGGGCTCTATTTTCAGTCAACAAAACATATTTATTAATTGAATGTAGAAGAAAGTACTGACAGACTTACACAACTGGCAGGATTTTAAGTATCTTCTGAGTTTTGGAGTACAAGCCAGTCATTCAGAGTTGTAAAAGTATGCATAAGACATCATAGCACAGTAGGACTGCCAGCACAGTGCCAGTCAGCAGTAGCGAGGTGAACGTGGGCATAAAACAGGAGCACATCCAGCTCTTCTAAAGTCGTGAAGAACTCTCCTAGGGTGTGACAGGGCTCAGCAGAGTGGCCTCTAATGGGGTTTCGCTGGGGCCACTGCAGGTAATAGTATAAGGACAGCAGAATGATGAGAGGCCCGTGACTATGTTCAGTCCTAAGGGGATGGGGATTGACTCCTATTGGGTAATCTTTGATGACTTTCCACCTGGAGACTACTCAAACTCATGTTATCAAGGTAAGATAACTGTAACTTTGCAACCATGATACTGTGTCAAAAGAAATTCAGTTTTGTCAAAAGAAATCCTTGAGTTTTTTCCCTTTGAATTATATGTTATTCTAAAAAAACTTGTTGAAATTTTGTGAGATTCCAAATAACTTAAAAACTTTTTAATAACCATCAGATTGCTTTATTTAGGTAAATGGAGAATTCTTTTTACATCTTCAACATTTCTTGAAGGAAAAGTTATTTCTGCTTGTGTGTGTGTATATGTGTAAATGTGTTTGTATAGATGTATATATAGATATATATAGATAGATGAAATAAGTCCTTAGACAACTTTCTGTTAGAGATTCTTCCCTTCAGTATATTGCACTCAGCTCAGGTGCTGAAGAAGCTCTCATCTTAAGTCATGTAAATGTACATTTAACTTCCTTAAGAAGTAGTTATCGGTTCAATAAACTAGTCAATGCAGAAGCTAATTGGGCTTCTGTATATCTAAAACTGATGAGTTTTTTTCTGAATCGTTGGTTGTCCATTTATTTGCCTTCAGTATTAAGCTAATGCAGGTAAAGTTTAGTAAGTCATTGGAGAAAGAGGAAATTATTACTTTTACAAAAGGCCATATTATGTTTTTTAATTTCCAGAGGAATTATGCCATACTAAAAATCAAGCAGTGTTTGAATTTTGAATTATAAACTGTTTCTTAAAAAATATTTTATGCCAGTTTACTTTTATTCTGAGGAATCTTAAAATAGTTTATCTGCTTCCCTTTAGTTAATAGCATACACAGGGTTATAAATCTCCATACCTTTTTCCCTACCAATTTTCATTGTAAAAGCAACTAGTTGTTACCCAAACAGTATAAAAGTTCAATTTTTTCATAAAGATGAGCTTAAAATTTTCTCTGATAGATATATAAGAATAAACCAATTTTTAGAGGAACTTATTCACAAACAACTGTTACTTATTAAATTTTTTTCTTGATAATTATAAAATAATTCTTACTTTCTTCCTGCAAGATTGAAAGCAAGTGTTAATTGAAACAGTTAATATATATTCCCACTGAAGTGGGAATATGGAGATCCCCTCAGAGGTGAATAGATGTCAGTAATCATCTGAGGATTAATGTTATATTGTGATGGGTTTATAAAGTATAATTTGCTTTTTGGTTAGGATCTTTGGATCAATGGGATTAAAAATAGAAGAGGTATAGCTGACAATCATGTGTCATTTCAACTTTTTTTCCCCACACTAAAATTAACCTAACTCTGAGCAGTAAAATTATCATGGCACTTTAAAGAAAGTAAGCAGGACCTGTTCTCCAGGTTGTAATGAGATAAGGCACCTGTTCCAGAATATAAATCAGCACGCTGTTTCCTTTATCAAGAAACTCTTGTTATAAAAGAAATAGCCGATTAGTGACATAATAGATTTCCATTCTAGCACAAGTTCTTTCTTTCATTTTGAATGAATCACAAATAATTCATAGACCAAAATTTGAGTAGCCTTGCTGTAAGTAACATTTATAACTGTTGATATTTTATAACTGTTTACATTTCCTCTGTATATATTTGAATTTTCAGTTTGATATCTGACTTGGAAACTTGTCCTTATTCATTGTTGTATAAGCAATTGTACTTTAATTTTGAATTGTATTAAAATTAAGTTATCTGACTTCCAATTTGGGGAATTATTATTAGTTGATAATTTTATGAAAGGTTAAAGAACTTTAAACTCAAGTATAAATTTCACACAAATTACAACTGCCGTCCATCTCAACTTTTATTCAGTAATCATGTTGCTTAAGGCATATTGCCTACAATTGTTTTGAATAGTAAAAAAAAAATTACATCAATTTAATGATCCTTTTGGTTACAAATTAAAAAGCATTTTTTTTACATTTGTGGTTGTCTTTTGCTTTAAAGTACTTCTAAATTTGTTATTCCTAAATGCTAACCTCTTTGCCTGGAGTCTCTCTAGCCTTTGACCCACATCGTCTTTGAACTTCTTTTCTAGTAGAGCTATGTTTATTAGACCCAGTCTGTTGGATAAAGCACATAAATTTGAAAACAAGAAGGGCTATTAACTTCTTCTAAGTAATAATACTTTTAGAAAATGTCAATGTATGGCAGTGCACTGTGCTGCATAGAGATGAGTAAAATCACCATGTAAGAAGTATGAAGTGTGATGAGAGAAATGATGTGCAGACTTGACAATTCGTAGGAAGGAGGTATTGTTAAAAATTTGGAACTTTTTTTTCAGTTGTGAACAACTTCAGGTTCCATATCTTCTTTTTCTGACACACAGGCACTCCCTAGTTTTTCTCTTTAGCCCCTTTTCCTCCTAGTCACTGAAGTTACATGTGTTATCTTTATGTGGATATAAGTATCCTCAAATGTGAACTACCTCTAAGTAAATTGATGATCATATTCTCCCTTTCTGTATTACCTCCTCACCGAACTTCCTGGATTCATGTTCTCTCCCTTAGTTAACACAGCATTAAATCTCTAGGTGTCATTCTAAAAATTTTGTTCTCTTACTGCTCCTCTTTCTATTAATTATTAATTTCTATCAATGATATTTCTTTATATATTTTTTAGTCATTTCCTTTCAGCTTGTACTGGTACACATGCTTTCATTTATATCTAGACTGTCTAGATCATCCAGAAAAATGTCAACAAATTTTTCTATAAAGGGCCAGTTATAATAACTTTGATCTGTTAAGCTTTGCAGGCCAGACAATGCCTTGTTACAACTTCTGAATTCTGCTCTAGGAGTATGAACTGTTCAAGAATATCTGTAATGTGCAAGGGTGGGTGCAAATGTGGTCGGCATCAAATGAATAATATCTCACATTTAGATTCCATGCCAACTCCATGCTGTGGTCAACTTTCAGAATAAGCAAAAAAAAGGATTGTTTTATAATTAGTCGGAAGATTTCCTCCCTCTGTGGTTCACCACTGGAATTTAAATTTAGTGATTGTAATACCCCATTGAAAGGCCAAAAGAAAGATATGTGCTAATTATACCAATATTTCTAGCCAGATGGTAAAATGCAAGTGGGTCACTAATTACAGATACAATTGTTAAGTTGTAGAGTCACTCTAGTTATACTGAGTAAACAAATGAGTGCAAAATGTATGTGGAAAAAATTAGAAGACAGTATTATTGAACAAAGAAAGATTCTCCATATCTCCATAGCGGAAGGTATATCTTCTATTAATCAATCACTATGACTAAATTTATGAGGTTTTCCTGGTTTTAACGGAATTCACTGCCTATACAGTCATAGGAAATCAAATTTTAGAATTGAAGCATTGCAATTTACTTGTTTCTTCTTTTGAAAGAAGTTGTTAGCCCAATTTATTGAGAACGTGATTGGTTTTTTAATTGGGATTTTCACAAAAAGGCTTCCGAAATAAATGAATATTTAAGTAATCACAGACTAAAGACCATTGAAAACAAGCTATAAAGGGAGAAAAAGAGCTGGGCCATTTATTTAGGGGCCTTTTTGGCCGCTTTAACCTGTGTGGACATCAATTACTTCTTCAACAAAACAGCAGTAATCAGCTGTTTGCTTCTTTGATTAGTTCTGGTCCTAATTCATTTAATACTAATGATTAAGCATGGGATACCGCAAATAAACCTGTCTCCTTTATTCCCAGAAATAGAATAACTACAATGGCCAGTGGCTGAGCTCACTTATATTGTCAAATTGTGAGAGATTTAATTACTTAGGCTTGCTCCAGTGTCCCAAACAGCATGCAACATTGTATCTAA